TTATACAGAAAAGATTAACAATTAAATTAATTTTTAAATTTTGATTAGGCACATGTGACCAGGGACTACTGGACTAGACAGCTGGTTCTGACAAACCAGGTATGAAAAGGGACTGTGCTCATATGTGATTTCCCTGGTGGTTATGGAACTCCTCCTGTTTCACCTTCTGACTATCAGAAAACCCTGCCTGCCTCTGTGCCCAAGGAGTGAGAGTGTTCTCCCCCATTGGAAGGTTATCAGCAGCATTTCTGAAATAACAATCATAATAGCAACAAGTTATTTATCGAGCAATTATTATGTTTTACGGCACATACTTTAAATATTCCGTGTCACTAAATCCTGCCAATAGTTCTGTGGTTAAACATGACACACACCCCCGTTACAGGTAAAGACAATGAAATTCAGCAAGGGTAAGCGACTTGCATGAGGTCATAGTGTGTAAGTGGCATAAGTGGCGAGTCATATGATCTTTCCTTGAATTTAGATCATGTGACTCACCAACCTGGCCTCTAAGTCAACTTTTGGTTGTTTCCTGAACACTGATGTTGAGAGGGCACAAGTTTTCAAAGTTACTTCTCAAGAAACTCTTAAAGCCAAACACAAGGAGGATTGACGTAGGTCTAAAGATTGCCAAAGGCATAGAAGTTGACTATCAGAGATAGAAAATGGATTAAAAAAGGAATCTTAGCTTTGCCATTTTTGTAAATGCTGGGATGACTCCAAGCATATTACCCTTGCCTCCTTGAGGCTATATGATCTCATCTTTGAAATGAGGTAAAATGTCATTTTGTTTGGGGGATAAAATGAGAAAATGTGCATGAGATGCCTTAGTAGGCACTTATAAAGAGTAATTATATATAATAACGTACATAATAGCTTTATTTCCAATAACGAAAACAAAATGTATAAGCTACACAACTCACAAGGGGTATAGCGATGGCTAAAAGGTCTCAAGGATGTGAATTCATTTTTCTTTTGGAGCATATGGTCTAGTTTGGAACATTTCAAAAATTTCTCTAACAGATTGGAAAGAGAAAAAGAATCCTGACTATCCTGCTCATAACAAGCTTATAACAGTATCAACTAAGTTGGTAAATTTTTAAGGTACTCTTAGTTGTTATTGCTTTCAGAGTACCCATGGCATTTTGACCTGGTCCAAAAACCAAGCTATTTAATTTTCTGTTAAAAAAATACAAATCAAATATGTATGTAAAAACTGCAAATCAAATATGTAAAACCCTATGCATCTCACGAGCTTCCCTCTATGCTTGCCCCTACCCCATCCCCACCCATTCCTGAGCCCCACGCACAGATGTGGCCCATCAGTAGGTAAAGGTGTGGTGCCTCTGGTGCCCACAGCACTCACTAGGTACATTGTGCTTTCAGGTTTCCATATATCTCAAATGTACTGCATCAGGATGTGATCCTTCATCTGAGAATACTAACACAAATTGAACTATGTGCCAATTCTGGCACTCCATACTTCCAAGGAAAGACCACTCACAATCTGTATGACTTGGGGCTCTTCTGAAACAGAACCAATAGGATGTGAATGTATCTGTAGGAGGTTTATTGTAAGGAATTGGCTCCCATGATTATAGAGGCTGGCAAGTTCAAATTCTCTAAGGTGGACTGACAGGACTGACAGCAGAGGCGCTGATGCTCCAGGGCAAGTTCAAAGCCCCTCTGCTGGCTGAGTTCCCTCTTTTGGGGGTAACTTAGTTACTTTTCTCATTGGTGAGACAAAATACCCAATACCCAAAGTTAAAGGAGGATGAGGGTTTCCATTTTGTAGAGGTTTTAGTCCATAACTGGCTGGTTCCAAGGCGGGGTCGCACAGCAGACAGACATCAGAGGATGAACAGTTCATGGCACACAGAAGGTAGCAAAAGTAACAAGGGATGATATATAAGATATATCTTATATCTTATCCAGGCTACTCAGGGCAGGTAGCACTCAGACCCTAAATCCTAGTGCCCTTGATCATAGCATTGCACCATGAATCAAGTCCAGCGCCACACATTCTAGATCCAGCCACCTCTGAAAAAGCCCTCATGTGGTGAGGCTTTGAGGTGAATATCTAGACACAAACCATAACCCTGGGTGTATTCAGTCTTTTATTCATCAACTGGTTGGACCAGGCCCACCTGTGTTATAGAAGGTAATTTTCTTGATTCAAAATCCCAATGTAAATTCAAATCTCATTCCAAAAAACGTACTCAGAAAAACATTCAGGAAAGTGTTACAGCACCCACAAAAAAAAAAACAAGAAAAGAAAAAAGAAAAAGAAAAAGAGAAAAGTGTTAACCAAATATCTGGGCCCTGTGGCCCAGACAGGCTGACATATAGAATTAATACCTCAAAGCCTAACCCGGAATGATTATTCCCATTAAAACAAAGCACTTTTCTCTAAACGTGGCTTCAGGCTCCTGTGCTGAGGCTCAAATCTGTAAACCCACCTGGCTCAGAGTCCTAAAGACCTTTGTTATCTGGTGTCACAAATCTGAACAGATAGGAAACAGAGGAAGGAGGCAGAGGATAAGGATCTCCTGGAGGCAGAAGCCAGAAAGAGTGAGGAGCAATTGCTCAAGACCTAAGTGCGGACAGGAAGTGCACAATCTATAAAAAAGTAGATGGAGAAACTATAAAAGCTCAGCTGCCCAGGGCCTTAAGAGCATTGTGACAAATTGTTTTGTGGAGTGAGGCTATTGTGCAGCCCAGGACAGCAACTGATGTTCTTAATAATGTACTGGAGTCTCTAAATGCCAGCATATTTGGAATCGGCTATGACATGGTTAGGATGGGAGGAAAGGGTAGTTTTTAACATGCCTGAGGGGACATGGCACTCACGGCCGATCTCTCACCCCCATGCTCATGCCAGCAAGGGGTAGGCTCTAGATTTCCTACTGGCTCCTTTCCAGATCTCAATTTTAAAAGAACTATGCTCCCTTTTTTTTCAGCCTATGGCTTGGATAAAATCAGTAGCACTCCTTCTCCATGGGCAGCCATTATGGTTTGTGCCAATCTAAACATGCCATTTTCCCCTCTCATCTTGGTTCAGAGAGGACTACATATCTAAACTAGCATTGCAGTGGTCCGAAGGGTGTTTACCCGGAGCTTCTGGGAGAAAACCAACCTGCCTTCCTCTCCCCCAACCCTCAGTGGTGTTTCATGAGGGTGCAGCCTGGAACTGCTACGGCCATTCTGCTCCAATGGAGAGGGGTTTCCAAGTGACAGGAAGGAGTCTTCTCTATGGAGAGTGAAGGTAAAGCCAAGACAAAAGGCAGAGAGGGCAAACTGGAGAGCTGGATTCTTACAAGACCATAGGGACGGCTGGGTCAAACAACTCCTGAAGTGTAGGGTTTTAATTTATAAATGCCAGTGGATTCCTTTTTCTGATTAAGCCAACTTCAATTGGTATTTTTGTTATCTGTGATGAAATCAACCTTGACTAATGCAAAGGTGACACCTGAACATAATCTTGAAAGAGTAGAATTTTGATGAGAAAAATTACAAATTAAACAGTATTTTAACAATAACAATTATAATAATAATAACGACATTTCTAAGAATGTCAACTAGAGCAGAAATTTATTAGGCATTTAAAATGTGCCAGAAACATTGTCTAGTGCTTCATTTAAGCATCAAGAAAACTGCGTGAGGTTGGTGCAATGATCACTTCTTTTTAGGAGGGAGCAGAAGCTCAGGGAGATTTAGTAACTTTCACAAGGTGGCACAGCAGGGAAATGCACTGGTGTGAGGCAGTTTGTTGGGTCTCAGTGGTGACCAGGTTTAACTACAGCTCTCACTAGCACCCAACACCGCAGTGCATTTCTGTCCATAGAGCTATGCTCAACTGCTGTCCAGGTTCAAAATAGGGACTTCTTCCAAGATATTGTAATCCACTTATTTATTCATACATCAGCCATTTGAAAGTCTGTGCCTCCAAGTGCCTGCCTGGCAAGTGCAAGGTCCTGAGTTCAATTTCCAGTACCAAAAAAAAAAAAAAAACAAAAACAGAAAAAATATATATATATAGTACTCCACAGTTTTTCTAGGTGTGGTGGTACACACCCGTAATCCCAGCACCTGAGAGGCTGAGGCAGGAGGATCCTTCCAAGTTCGAGACCAGCCTGGGCTACAAAGTGAGCTCAAGGCCACCCTGAACTGCATAGCAAGACCCTGCCTCAAAAAGACAAAACGTCTGTGCCTCAAGCATCCTGTTTGGTGAACAAACAGTCAAGGTAAGTGCCCCACAGACCTAGCAGTTATGTTGGGCATGACAACATTAAACAAAATAATTCCACCTGTGCACATATAATTATGAGCTATACAAAGTATAATGGAGTTGCAGCTGTGCAAAGTACAGTGCAAGGTGTAATGAACAGAAAGCAATGATAAAGAATGGGAGACCTGCTTTAGATTGAGAGACAATGTGCCAGTATGCAGGCTAAAGCTTCTCCTCGGAAGTGTCATTGAAGGGAGAGCCTTGATATTTGGAGGATGTTAGCTTGACAGGGGCAGATGCACTGTTAGCAGAAGGAACTACATATGCAAAGGGGGTACTGGATTTACATTTGCATGTTTAATGAACTGAGAGGTCAGTGTGGCTGCAGTAAGTGGGGTAAGAGGTAGGCAGGCGTTGGGCCACACAAGTACTTTTGCTCACCATGTGGACTTTTGATTCTCAGTCATTCATTTCCAGATTGCACATTTCCTGAAATCCTCCTCCGGGCCAGGCCCTATGTGAGGAATAGGGACATCGTGATTAATAATAATGGCTAAAGTTCATTGAGTAAACTACCATTTGCCATCAACTCATCTAAGCCTTCCATCAACCCTATATACTACCATTGTTCGCCTTTGACAGGCAGGGAAACTGAGGTACACAGAAAGTCATTTTCAAGATTATACAACTGCTAAGCGGTAGAACCAGGATGAACTGCAGCAGTCTGACCAGAGCCCATTCACATTTGTTATTAACTAGTATGACTCATGTTTGACTCTAGTCCATTCGGGCTGTGTCAGCCTCCCAAACAATATTTTAGATATCTATGTGGCTGGTTGAGAAGAGAATTTCCCAAACTTGGTAGATCATAAGAACTCCCCTGGGGTGCTTGCTAAAAACAGACTTTTTTTCTTAGAGATCTGGATTCAATGAGCCCACCTTGGAATTTGAATTTTTCACAAATTTGACAAACACTGACTTAGCAATTCAATGTGATGGTTTTTGAGCTGAATAGATCCCAGTTTAGCTGGTTTGTAGCTTTACTACTTTTCCAGAGGTGTGTCTAAGCCTCAGTCTCCCCACTTGACAAATGTGGCCAGTGCCAGCATCAACTCCTGGGGGTGCTGTATGGATTAAGTGAGCTATACACAGAGTGCCTCATTGCACGCTTGCTGCCTAGCATGACAAAATAGTAATAGAATTGATATAGGGCATATGATATAGGGATGATATAGCACCTCCAAATAACCCAAATAATGTAAGGAAAATATAACTGCCAACCTGCTAGCTGTCTGATATTCTGAATACGTGTTCTCTAAAATCGAAGAATGAATTCTAGGAGCAATGGAGGTTACAAGTAGGAAGTATTTGTTGAGAGAAAGCTTCTGTCTAAAAGAGACAGGTGGAGTCCTGAGCAGGTAGCCTCGGGGGAACCCTCTTCTCAGCTTCTCAAGGGAGTTCTATAGAGTAAAAGCATGAGGTGAGGTGGGTGTAAGGTTGTATAAAATTATAGTTAACTAACATTACAAGTACAGCCACTTAGGTAATGTTGATCCAATGGGAAATTACAAGGTATGAGGTGGGATAAAACTATGGTCAGCCAATAAGAGTACAAGTATAGTCGCTTAAAACTATTGATTAAATGGGGATCACATGGGAACGCAAGTCTCTGTCCCAAGTTCATATATGCTGAACAAGGAGTTTCTACGAGAGGTAGGTTAAGGAGGTTTTGGCCCTCCACTCAAGATGACCGATGCCTATGTAGAATATCAATCACTGCTGTTTTTCCATAGAGGAAGTATGTGGGTGTAGTCATTTCCCTATCCTGAGGCCTGACCTTCAATCAATGCACCTATAATAGAATGACCTGCAGTGACTGGGAAACTCCAGATGCCCTAAAATGAAGTGTCATAGATCATAGTGGTGGACTTGGAAGGCTGTCTTGAGAAAACGGGCAGACCCTATTGACCAGATAAAAATCAGGACGCCTGGTTCAAATGGAATTTCAAATAAAACAGCGAAAAAAATTAAGTATAAATATCACCCCAATATTACATGGGATATACTTATAAATAATTATAATTTAAGAAAATCTGTAATTCCAAGTTAACTTGGGGCCCTATACTGTAACCGGTCAAATCTGGAAACCCTACCTTCGGGGAAAAGCCTGGCCCCAAAGCCTGAGCCCGCAGGTAGCCACTGTCCACGTGGGTCCCTGACACCTGGGCTTTGCCAGGAGCTTGGGTCGATTCCAGAGGGGCCGCTGGCGCCTCGGCCTGGCCCAGGCAGCACTAGCGGCACCCCGAGCGGCCGAGCCCCGCCCCACCCCTCTTGTCCCGCCCTGAGCAGAGGGCACCAACGGGCAGAACGGGGCTGCTGGGCGGTGTGGAGTCGCGCTGTTCCTTCGTACGAAGTGTGCTCCCAGAAACTCGCTATGTCAGCTGCGAAGGTGGGGAGCGTTTTCCACAGAGCCCGGGACAGGACCCTGGACGCGTTTCTCGCAGGTACTGCTGGTCCGCCGCTGGGGGAGGAAACTCCGGAGTTGCGGAACCTTCTGCTGGCGGAACCTGCGCTGCGGCTGCGTGCGCCTACGCCGGACACTTTCGCAGGCTGCACCCGCGCGCGGCTGGGGACCGCTTTAGAAGCTGGGTCGTCTGGGCTTTAGGTTTCCAGGGGCGCTAGACCCGAGAGCCCAGCGGAGGAAGCCCATCCACGGTCTTCAGTGGCCTGGACCTCACTTCTCTGAGAGAAGGAAAGTCAGAGGACCGCAGCAAAGCAGAGTCCTCAGCACTTGCACCCGGGTCCCAAACCCTGCCTTGGCAGTGCCTCAGTTTTCTCAGCTGTAGAATGGGAATCGTGACGAGGTTATGGGTGACACTGGATAAGCGCTGGTGCAGGTTTTTAGTAGGGTCTTTCACCAGGATGCATTTTATAGGACGCAATTACATTTACTTACTATAATAGGAGTCATTCACTGAAATACTAACAACAGCCATCAGCACAGGGAAGGCATTTTAGAGTTGTGGTCGAGTTGAGTGCTTGGACGTTGGATTTAGATCATCTGCCACGCAGTAAAAACGAGTTTGATAATACCTGCTTCATAGGATGGTTGGGTGTGTTAGCAGATTGAAAATATTTCTGCAGCCCACTGTCGGACATATGCTAAATGAACACAGCATTAGTCCTTGAGCTGTAAGTCAGGAGGAAGCATACCCCCCCACACACTTTTTTCTTTTTGTTGTCTGCCTGGAGTCAAATGCCTTCCCAGGAGCCCACCAACGTTATAACTTCAGGGAAGTCTCCCCCAGGATGCACAACCTGATCTTGCTTATCCCCACCATTTGCTTCACGCTTGCCACCCTCCTTTGCCCACTTTACCTGCCTCACTAGTTTTCTTGAACTACAATTTGAAGGGTCAAGCCTTTTTCTGAGAGTCTTGGTACCTGCTCTTTGCACCTACAGCTACTTCTAGGTCTGGTGACCCTGGCGCTTTACATTCACACCGCATTTTAAAGATCTTTTTTTTTTTTTTTTTGGTCTTTTTTGAGACAGGGTCTCACTATGCAGTTCAGGCTGGTCTTGAGCTCACTTTGTAGCCCAGGCTGGTCTCGAACTCACAATGATCCTCCTGCCTCAGCCTCCCGAGTGCTGGAATTACAGGTGTGCACCACCACTCCCGGCCTACCTTGCCATTTTCTATGTGTGTTAATACAACTTGACTTTTTTACCCAAGATGACGTTTTTCAGTCTGTAGTAATGCAAGTAGTTCCACTTCATTTTCCTGCCGGGCAATATCCCTTTGTGTAAGTATATACATTGTACATTCTGTTGATGGACACGCTATGTATCTTCAGATTTGCTTCTCCCTTGCCTCTTCAAATCTCTCTCCCTTTCCCACAGAGTTCCAAGGAGGTTGACCTCTGTGGGCTCCTCAGTGGACTCCTTGCCCTCTAGTTTCCCCTTCTGTTCAGCCAGTGGGAAGGCTAGACTGGAGGTCAGAAGGAGGAGGAAGCAAAAGCCTGTTTATTCCTGCACTTCACTCTCTTGGAGATTTGCTGTGAGCTGGCTGTATTTCTCCTCTCACCATCTCTCAAGATAGCACTTTTTTCCTCAAATTTTCTCTTCAAATTTGGGTGACCATTCTCTTTATTCCCCCATGCAGGTGTGTGAGTGACAGCAGCTCTGCTTGTCTGCCTTTGGGCTGCCAAAAAACTGTCCCTGTGGTTTCCTTATAATCTATCCCATATAACCCCCTAAAATAAACCCTCTTTAAATCTGAGTATGTGAGCCATTTCTTGTTTCTGTCCTGACTGATATAGTGTCCATTTAGTTGTTTTTCACTCATTTTTTATTTTTCTTTTCCTCTCTTCTTTTTCTTTGTTTCGGTCTTTTTGAGGAAGGGTTTCACTATGCGCTTTAGGCTGACCTCGAACTCACTTTGTAACTGAGGCTGACCTCAAACTCACAGTGATCCTCCTGCCTCAGCCTCCCAAGTGCTAAGTGCTGGGATTACAGGCATGAGCTACCACACCCGGCTTATTTTTCTTTTCTTAACTTTATCTTTTTTTTTTTTTTTTTTTGGACTCATATTAGCAGTGCTGTTAGGAACATTCTTTTACAAGTCTTTCTGTGGACACGTTGGAGAATTTCTCTAGGGCATATACCTAGGAGCAAAGTTCTGGGTTGGAGGGTATAATCATCCCCAGCTTTGCTAGATAATTGTCAAATTGTCCTCCAAAGTGGTTGTACCATTTGCACCCTACCAGCAGTTGCCAGAGAGTTCCTGGTACTTTGTTGCATCTTTTCTTTTCTTTTCTTTTCTTTTCTTTTTATTTTAAAAAATAAAAGAAGGACAACATATTAACAGACAGACATCCATTTACAAAATAGCATAAGAACAATACAAAGAAAACAGTTACGACAAAGTTGCAGGAAATTAACCATGGTTGTTGTATTACTTATTGATATCTTCAAAATGGTTTCTCAGGAAAACAAGTAGAGACGTACAAGATTGATCAAACAAGTAGTCATTAACTGTTCCTTTCTGTAGACCAATAGAAGACAGTAGTACAACTATGTTAGCTATTCTGTATATGCATACTTACATAATTTCCCCTTCTTTTGCTTCTCTTTTCCCACACCCCAGTTGCCCTTTACTTTTGAGCATTTTCCTTTCATTTCACAATGTCTGTCATACCTCCTAGTTTTTATTC